TTATGAAAGTAACTAATCAAATTACTAAAAATTACTTAGATGGAAATCATTTGCTGAAAACTTGGTCCCCCCCAGTTCAAAAATCCTATCTGCGCCCCTGTGTTAACTTAATTACTTATTAAAATATGGACATGTTTGGTATCTTCAGAAAGGTCATATTGGCTAACAGCTCATGGAAACCTTTTCTACATCCATCAAACACAGTACTTAAAACCAAAAGCTGCTGAATCAGAAAGTAAACAAATTGTACTAAATGGCATCAATGCAAATCTGTAAATAGGATTAAATAACAGTGTTTTTAGAAATGCAAGTGAAAGTTTTTTTAAACCTGGTTTTAAGTTAATCTGCTCCAGTTGCCGTCAAATTTGTTGTTGTTTTTTATGAATAAAACAGCATGAATAAATAAATGTGTGGGTAATTTTTCAAAGATCAAACATTCAGAAATGAGTCTCTTCAGGCATGTAAGAAATTATTTTTTGCAATTAATAACCTAAGATTTCTTAATATTTATTCATGGTACCAAGTGGTCTGTCCTGTGCAGAATGATAAAACACAATGTATCATACAAAACAATAACAGCTTCTACTTTTGGTGACATCTCCCAAGTTTTAGCTTTATTTTGATACTAAGGTTATTTAAGTAGAGTTTGTAAATGCTGAGACACACTCAATTACATTTTGGAACATTATTTCAAGCACAAACTAAAAAAATCTTGGGGTTGATGAGATCAACTTATATCCTAAAGCAAAGGTCCAATCAGGCCTGATTTGATCAACTAATGCTGTGGCATATTGTAGGAGCCAAGTTTCTTGTTTCTATTATTTATCACAACAGGGGCTGTATTTCTGTTTGTATGCCGACTGACAGGTGAGGGATGGGGCTATTTAAAGTTAAGTGTGGAGCAAACAGTTTTCTGCTGTGCTTAGTTTAGAGCTCTGGAAGATCGTGTTGATTCTATCAAAATAGCAAGATAAATGGGTGTAAAGAAATAAATTACTCTTATAAGGAGTGAAAAATAAAGTTCAGCAAAGTGAGATTTGATTGAGCGCACATAAAAATAAGCCTGCAAGGACAGTTTGCTTAAAGAAAGGATTTTAGCTGCTACACATATATTTTTTAAAAGTGTATCTTTACACATTGATCAGATAGTATCTGGCTCGGGTCACACATGGATAAAAACACTAAATCCAATCATTCAGTGATCTGAAGCAGCCAATCGACAGCAGCTCGCCGTCAGCAGACACTGATAAATATAGTCCTTACAGTAACAGTTTGGATGACGTGACCTGTTGACTGTGACTGATGATGAGTCTGTGGTGTTTCTGTTTCTATTTTTCCACACTGAGTGGCCAGGGATGCATGACTGTCTGTGGACCTCTTTTCTACAGGAGTGTCAGGAATCAAAGCAGTTAAAATAATGCAGATCAATTATGTAATGTAAATTCTGTTAGCTGTTTCAGTCTTTGTCAAGCAGAGAAAACTGATATTTTGATTATATGAACATTTGGCTGCTATTTTTAGATTTAAATGAAAACTTGCATCACTGAAAACATTTTTTGAAATTGTCTCTGAAGCAAAATAACCTTAATATTATTACGTGACCAATTAACATTTTGCTTTTTGATTCTTACTTTTTTATATATAATTTATTAAATTTTACTCCTTAATTTTCTACATCTACTATTCTTACTGTGAATTGCTTCAGTTTGAAGAAAACATATTTTCTGGCCAAATTGATGAGCTAAAGACTAGTCAAAGGGGGTCAAGACCAAATTGGCTTAAAACAACTCCTGAGTCAAACATTTTATAACACTTGCACAAACCCTGTTATATAAATCTTATGTTGGGATATTTCAGCCGAAAATGGTTGGAGTGGAAATGTTACAACTTTGTATTAACATTTTCATTCTTTCATGTCAGTGAAGGTCTCTCAGGTCTGTGAGTTCAGCTGACCTGCTGGGAAGACATTAGATTGGCATTGCATCAACACAGACACTGTTATTATTTCCACAGCTTTTTCTCCTGCAGTCATGCTTACATATTTACAGTATTAACACAGTAAGTCCAGCTTAAAACATGTTCTCCTTTAAACACAAAGGAAAGTCATAAAAACTTTCTTCAAACCCATAATTTGTTTGAATGAACTAAAAAAAATTGACCTAAGTTTATTGTTGTTGTTGTTGTTGTTGTTGTTGTTGTTGTTGTTGTTGTTGTTGTTGTTGTTGTTATTGTTATTGTTATTGTGGGGAATGGTAGAGAAGGTGAGCCTGTGATCAGCATGTCACCAGTTCACGTCCCTGACCCTTACATCAAAAATGTGGGTGGTCAAACACCCTCACCTAACCCCCCCCCCCCCCCC